CCGAACTCATGACCTCAGGGGATCTGCCCACCTCGGCCTCCCAAAGTGTTGGGATTACAGGCGTGAGCCATGGCACCCAGCCTCTTTTTTTTTTTTTTTTTTTTTTGAGATGGAGTCTCGCTCTGTCACCCAGGCTGAAGTGTACAGTGGTGTGATCTCGGCTCACTGCAACCTCTGCCTCCCAGGTTCAAGCAATTCTCCTGCTGCAGCCTCCCCAGTAGCTGGGACTATAGGCACAAGCCACCATGCCTGGCTAATTTTTGTATTTTTAGTAGAGATGAGGTTTCAGCATGTTGGCCAGACTGGTCTCGAACTCCTGACCTCAGGTGATCCACCTGCCTCAGCCTCCCAAAGTGCTGGGATTATAGGTATAAGCCACCGCATCCAGCTGGCCATTTCTTTTTATGTATTTTTTTATTTTTTATTTTTTTTTTAGATGGAGTCTCACTCTTGTTGCCCAGGCTAGAGTGCAATGGAGCCATCTCGGCTCACTGCAAGCTCCGCCTCCCAGGTTCAAACGATTCTCCTGCCTCAGCCTCCCAAGCAGCTGGGATTATAGGCGCCTGCCACCATGCTGGGCTAATTTTTGTTTTTGTTTTTTTTTTTTGAGACGGAGTCTCGCTCTGTCGCCCAGGCTGGAGTGCAGTGGCCGGATCTCAGCTCACTGCAAGCTCCGCCTCCCGGGTTCACGCCATTCTCCTGCCTCAGCCTCCCAAGTAGCTGGGACTACAGGCGCCCGCCACCTCGCCCGGCTAGTTTTTTTGTAGTTTTAGTAGAGACGGGGTTTCACCGTGTTAGCCAGGATGGTCTCGATCTTCTGACCTCGTGATCCGCCCGTCTCGGCCTCCCAAAGTGCTGGGATTACAGGCTTGAGCCACCGCGCCCGGCCTTAATTTTTGTATTTTTAGTAGAGATAGGGTTTCACCATGTTGGCCAGATTAGTCTCGAACTCCTGACCTCAGGTAATCTGCCCATCTCAGCCTCCCAAAGTGCTGGGATTACAGGCGTGAGCCACCACGCCCGGCTGGCCATTTCTTAAATAGTTACTCATTCATTTTCCCTATGTCCCAGGAGTTCTACTTCTGGTATTTATTGAAGAAAATAAAAATACTTGTCCACAAAAAGAACGTTTACAGCAGGATTATTTACAGTAGCTAAAAACTGGAAACAACTCAAATGTCCAGGCAACAGATGAATGGATAAACAAATTGGTACAACAGAATACTGCACAGCAACAAAAATGAATAACTACTAATATGTGCACTGACATGGTTAAATCTGAAAGACACTATGCTGTGTGAAGGAGAACTCAAAAGAGTACATACCGCATGATTATATTTATATGAAGTTCTAGAGCATATAGAACTAAGTTATGATTATAGAAATCATTATAACGGTAGAATATGGTGCAAAAATATTTAATACAATTTACACTTCTATTTTTAAAAAATTAAGTTGAAACAGGGATTAAGTTAGTATTCAAAATACATGCCATCAGATCCATACACCTGCAAGGACAGGGTCACAGATTTGACTTTTAGCTTCTTAGCCACGGAAGGGAAGAGTTCAAAACAATCAGTTACATGATTGTATCCAAAAGACGGGGGGGGGGGGGGCGGGGAAATCAGCTATTGGCCGGGCGCAGTGGCTCATGCCTGTAATCCCAGCACTTTGGGAGGCCGACGTGGGAGGGTCACTTGACGTCAGGAGTTCAAGACCAGCCTGAGCAACATAGGGAGACCCCATCCCTACAACAAATTTTTTTCTTTTATTATTTATTATTATTATTATTATTATTATTATTATTATTTTGAGATGAAGTTTTGCTCGTCACCCAGGCTGGAGTGCAGTGGCTCAATCTCGGCTCACCGTAACCTCTGCCTTCTGGGTTCAAGAGATTTTCCTGCTTCAGCCTCCCGAGTAGCTAGAAGTACAGGCACGTGCCACGTCCGGCTCATTTTTTGTATTTTTAATAGAGACAGGGTTTCGCTATGTTGCCCAGGCTGGTCTGGAATTCCTGACCTCAGGTGATCTGCCTGTCTCAGCCTTACCAAGTGCTGGGATTACAGGCATGAGCCACTGCGTCCAGCTAAAAAAAAAAAATTTTTTTCAAATTAGCCCAGCATGGTGGTACAGGCCTGTAGTCCCAGCTACTCCAGAGGGTGAAGCAGGAGGATCACTTGAGACCAAAAGGTCAAGGATGCAGTGAGCTATTATTGCACCACTGTACTCCAACCTGAGCAACAGAGTGAGACCTTGTCTCTTAAAAAAAAAAAAAAAAGGGAAACAAAAACAACAAGTATTTTTACATTTTGGAACTGAGATATGAGAGAAATTCCCACACTGCACCACAGTTGAGGTCGTGGACAACCAAGTTCAGTCTACACACATTTCCCTTGGCTGTTGCTTAAAAGGTCTTGTGATGTAACAACAAAGTGAACTGCAGTTGAAGCAACTTTATGAGAAGCCATGACATATGAATCAGACCCCACTGAAACCAGTAATAGGGATAAATGGACATGCTGTTAGGGTATAAGACAGCCAAAAAATGTTCATTCAGGATAGACATTACAGCCCTAATAACACACCTGATTCTTTGCTTTAGCCTAATAAGGACAGAAGATTTCTAATCAGTGAGAGGAGTTTCCCTCGGCCAGTGATTTGGGAAACTGTTGGGAGTTGCGGTGGTAGAACACAGGAGAGAGCCACTCAGGAGCTGGACAAGGGTGGTAGCAGTGGGGATGCAGAAAGGGGACATACTGGAGATACGTTTTGTGGTGAGAAGTCGTTCAGATTCAGAACCTGCTCACAGATTTGCAAGTGGGAGAAAGTGAAATCAAAGCTAATAGTTCCTAGGTTTTTGTTTATAACTTAGTTTTCTCTTGTGATTACATTCTTTCATTTTACAGTTTTTATTGAGAGCCTGCTAAACGCCATGTTACATTCAAGGTGCCCGATTACAGAGGTGACGAAGATAAGGCTCTGCTCTCGCTTGATTAAGAGCACAGATGCTGAAGCTTGTCTGCTTGAATTCAAATGCCAGCTCTGGGCTGGGCATGCTGGCTCATGCCTGTAATCCCAGCACTTTGGGAGGTAAAGGTGGGAGGATCACTTGAGCCCAGGAGTTCGAGAGCAACCTGGGCAACATACTGAGACTCTGTCTCTACCAAAAAAGAAAGAAAAGAAAAAGAAAAATTAGCTGGGCATGGTGGCACATGACCATAGTCCCAGCTACTGGGGAAGCTAAGGTGGGAGGATGGCTTGAGCCCAGGAGGTCAAGGCTGCAGTGAGCAGTGATCATACCACTGCACTCCAGCCTGGGTAATAGAGTGAGACCTTGTTTCAAAAAATAAAAAATCTCAGTTCTGCCACTAACTAACTGTGTGACCAGGTGCAAGTTACTTAACCTACCAAGACTCAGTCTCATCTGTAAAATGGGCATAATAAAAGTATCCACCTTCTAGAGTAATAGGCACAACGCTAAAGATTAAACATTAGCGAGGTGTGGGCTCACACCTGTAATCCCAACAATTTAGGAGGCCAAGGTGAAAGCATTACCTGAGCCCAGGAGTTTGTGACCAGCCTGGGCAACATGTCAAGGCCCTGTCTCTACAAAAATTACAAAAAATTAGCCAGGCATGGTGCTGCACACCTCTGGTCCTAGCTACTTGGGAGGCTGAGGTGGGAGGATCGCTTGAGCCCGGGAAGTGGGGGTTGACATATTCCAGCCTGGGCAACAGAGCGAGACCCTGTCTCAAAAAAAAAAAAAAAAAAAAAAAAAGGCATAATAAGTTTTAGCTATTACAATTTAAGGAGCTGTCATTCTAGTGAAGGGAAGCAGAAAATAAACTAGCACTAAATATTAGGTTATGGTAAGTTCAAAGAAGAACATTTAAAAAGGAGATATAATAGAAAGCTTCATGTACTACTTTACTTAGGTACTCAGGAGATGACATTTAATCTGAGACCTAAATAGCAAGGGGCCAGACATGAAAATACCTAGGAAAATAACATTCTAGAAACAACAAATGCATACTCCCCAAGGCAAGAACAAGCTTAGCACATCCCAGGGACAGAAAGCAGGGTAACGGCCAGGTGCAGTGACTCACACCTGTAATCCCAGCACTTTGGGAGGCCAAGGCAGGTGGAGGAGTTCAAGACCAGCCTGGCCAACATGGTGAAACCCTATCTCTACTAAGAATACAAAAAAATGAGCCAGGCGTGGTGGTGCACGCCTGTAATCCCAGCTACTCAGGAGGCTGAGGCATGAGAATCAGTTGAACCCAGGAGGTGGAGGTTGCAGTGAGCTGATATTGCACCACTGCACCCCAGCCTAGGCAACAGAGTGAGACCCTGTCTCACAAAAGGAAGGGAAGAAGGGAGGGAGGGAAACAAAGCTGGAACTCAATGATACAGGGAGAAAATGATGCAAAAATGAAGTTGTAAAGCAAATAGTTGACAGATCACTAGGTCCTGATAGGTCAAGGTAAGCAATTAGATTTATTTTTTATTATTATTATTTATTTATTTATTTTTGGAGATGGAGTCTCGCTGTGTCTCCCAGGCTGGAGTGCAGTGGCGTGATCTCAGCTTACTGCAACTCAAGTGATCCGCCTGCCTCGTCCTCCCAAAGTGCTAGGATTACAAGCGTGAGCCACTGCACCTAGCCTTAGATTTTATTTTAAGCACAATGAGGGCCTGGGGGAGCACTTTACGAGGAGAATGGCATGATTTGTCTTACATTTTAAATAAATCAGGCCGGGCGCGGTGGCTCACGCCTGTAATCCCAGCACTTTGGGAGGCCAAGGCAGGCGGATCATGAGGTCGGGAGGTCGAGACTATCCTGGCTAACACAGTGAAACCCCGTCTCTCCTAAAAATACAAAATAATTAGCCAGGCTTGGTGGTGGGCACCTGTAGTCCCAGCTACTCGGGAGGCTGAGGCAGGAGAATGGCATGAACCCGGAAGACGGAACCTGCAGTGAGCTGAGATCGCACCACTGCACTCCAGCCTGGGCAACAGAGCGAGACTCTGACTCAAAAATAATAACAAATAAATCAGTCAGGCTATTGTGTGGAGAATAGGTTTTAGGGTGGCAAGAAAGGAAGCAGAAAATTAGGAAGCTATTATAGGACTGAGAGCAAGAAATGACAGTGACTTCATCTGCAGTAGTAGGTGATGGACAGATCTGGGATGTGTCTTAGATATAGCATCAACAAGACTTACACTTTAACCCGAGCACAGTGGCTCACACCTGTAATCTCAGCACTTTGAGAGGCAGAGACAGGAGGATGGCTTGAGTCCAGGAGTCTGAGACCAGCCTGAGCAACATGGTGAGACTCTGCATTTCTTAAAAAGAAAAAAGAAAAAAAATTAGCTGGACATGGTGGCATGCACCTGTGGTCCCAGTTACTCGGGAGGCTGAGGCAGGAGGCTCACTTGAGCCCAGGTCAAGGCTGCAGTGAGCCGTGATCACACCACTGCACTCTAGCCTGGGCAACAGTGAGACCCTCAAAATAAATAAATAAACAAATAACTTCTGCCTTTCAAGTTTGTTGAGAGGGTAAACAAGCTATAGGATAAGTGAAAATCACCCCCAGCACCTGACACACATCATAGGCATTAGGGTAATAGCTGGCTTCTCTTCCCTTTCACAGTCCTATAGAGATTTTTTAAAAATAGCATCTCTTGGTTTATTATATTGTCAGTGTTTGTGGTGATGGACTACCGCCTGTGTAGACCTCTCAGAATGTATTAATAAGTATATTCCTCAAAAACGGACATTTGGGAGCCGGGCATGGTGGCTCACACCTGTAATCCCAGCACTTTAGGAGGCCGAGGTGAGCAGATCACCTGAGGTCAGGAGTTCAAGGCCAGCCTGGCCAACATGGTGAAATCCTGTCTGTACCAAAAATACAAAAAATTAGTCTGGTGTGGTGGCAAGTGCCTGTAACTCCAGCTACACAGGTTGAGGCAGGAGAATCGCTTGAACCTGGGAGGCAGAGGTTGCAGTGAGCTGAGATTGCGCCACCACACTTCAGCCTGGCTGACAGGGTGAATAAGACTCCGTGTCACAGACACCCTCCACACCCAACACACACACACAAAGGCATTTGATAAGCACTTGCCAATTAACTTTATACATCCAGAAATAACATCACCAAATTAACTACCAATGTTCTAAACATAAACAATTTTGGTTCTTTTAACTGATACTTCAAAATCCTTACTTACTTTTCTCATATGCCTTCCAATAATTTGTTAGGAGGTGGACCTGTCAATAGGAAGGACAAAAATTATTATCACCAATACTCTCAAAATAATCGTCACCAAGAAAACCCAATACACTCAGGGAATTTTCAGAATTCAGTCAAGCCCATCCAACTGTCTCCAAGTTGTGACTCTGCCTAAAGGACTCCTCACAGTTGGTTTAGCCCAACCCAGTAAGAAACATTTAACAAATAATTAAAGGTGTTGTGCCAAGGTGATTGTGTTGCCGAGATACGGTTGTTGGTAGCCGGGGAGTGGTAGGCAGATCCAGCCAAGAATTGTGCCCTAAACCAGGAGCTCTGATGATGAAATCACAGGATGTGTGAGTTTGGGGCTTGATGCTCATCCCAGGTGGTTTCCTATCATGGAAAACATTTGATGTATAAGAGTAAGGCTCAGCTGGGCACGGTGGCTCATGCCTGTAATCCCAGTACTTTGGGAGGCCATGGCAGGCGGATTACCCGAAGTCGGGAGTTCAAGGCCAGCCTGATCAACATGGAGAAACCCCGTCTCTACTAAAGGCAAAAAAAAAAAAAAAATTAGCCCGGCGTGGTGGCGCATGCCTGTAATCCCAGCTACTTGGGAGGCTGAGGCAGGAGAATAATTTGAACCCAGGAGGTGGAGGTTGTGGTGAACCAAGACTGCACTACTGCACTCCAGCCTGGGCAACAAGAGCATAACTCCGTCTCAAAAAAAAAAAAAGAGTAAGGCTCCACTGGGTGTGGTGGCTCACACCTGTAATCCCAACACTTTGGGAGGCTGAGGTGGGCAGATCACTTGAGGTCAGAAGTTCGAGACCAGCCTGGCCAACATGGTGAACCCCCTCCCCCTGCCATCTCTATTAAAAATACAAAAAGCAGCTGGGTGCGGTGGCCGGCGCCTGTAGTCCCAGCTACTCAGGAGGCTGAGGCGAGGAGAATTGCTTGAACCTGGTAGGCAGAGGTTGCAGTGAGCCCAGATGGCGCCATTGCACTCCAGCCCTGGCGACAGAGTGAGACTCCATCTCAAAACAAAACAAAAAACAAAAAGTGAGGCTCTATTGCTACTCCCTGATTTAATAAACGTCTCTGGGACACAATTTCTTCATCTGTACAAAAGGTAAATTAAAAAAACCCTTACTTGGCAAGTTCACTGTGGCGAATTATCTACGACACAGGAATGGAAAGTGCTTTACAGATTGCACAGCACTCCTTACACATGAGTAATTAGTGTTCACAGGTTCAGCCACTTTTGGGGAGGAGGAAAGTGTGGTCTTTTAGAGGCCAAACGTCTTCCCAAACTCCTAACAGCCAACGAAGGGCTCGGTGATCTCCGCGCTTCAGAGTCGGCCCAATTCTCAAAGCCTGGTTTAAGTACACTTTTCCCTCAGCCTACGGGAGTGGCCCAAGGGCAAACCGTCCCGGGTTCGTGTCCCACCTCTACCTCAAAGACTACACTCTCTTAGGACAGGTGCGTGTCCCCGGTAGCCTGGGCTGCCAGCTTGGGAAGGAGGCGGTGGCACCCGGGCGACCGAGTGCTTAATAATGGCAGTTGCCCTGTCAGCCCCGTCACCTGTCACTCCCTCCCCCGACTTCTCCCGCACCGCGGCCGCAATCTAGCCCGGACACTCCGAGAGCTCTCTCTGAGCCGGGCACGGTCCTCGCTGCTCGGCCAAGTGCAGCCCCCTCACCTCAGTGCGAGTGAGACAAAGCAGGGTCCCGCCGGCCCCTGTCCCCTCCCTAAGGCGCGCCCTCAGGGCGGGAGCCCCACCTCGGCCAGCCCCCCAGTTCAGTGGCCCACAGGCTCGACTCCCGCGCTGACGCTCAGCGCCTCCCTCCTCCACAGCCGTCACTGACCGCTCCCCTCTAGCCTGGACCCCGCTGTCCAGCAGTCCTGGCTGGCCCGCGCCGCGCTCCTCCCGCTCTGGCAGTGGTGGCACCGGTAGCGCTCCAGCAGCCTTCCAGCCTAGAGGGCGCCGGGCGGGCACCCGCTGGGGGCCGGGCGGGGACGGGGATGGGGCCGGGGAGACGCAGCTCGGGGCGGCCGGCGGTTGGTGCTCGCAGCCCGCGTGCCCGCCTTCCCGGCCACGTAACCTTTGGGCCCCGCCCACATCGGGAGTTGCGCAGGGGCTCTTGGTGCGACGCCCTCCGGCTGAGCGCTGGAGGCAGGACCTTCCCCGTGGCCCTTTGGGGCAAAGAGGGCACCGTCCAGTGATCGTCCCGTTGTGCAGAAGAGGCGAGCTGAGGCACGGCGGCAGGCGGGGCGTCAAAGCAGTTAGCGCCGCGCCTGGCCGCTAGTCCGCGCGGGAAAGCTTTGTCTCCCTTCCTTCGGATGGAATTGGAACTGAAGCTCTGGGAGCGCCCGAACTGTGCGGTCCTCGAGTTCACTGCTATACCCACAGTGCGCAGAGCACAGGGGCACGCGATACATTATTTGAATGAATAACTCTCTTATCCTGGGCTTTCTCTAACTCTTTCACTTCTGCTTGGGCCACCCGCCCCCTCCCCAGGAGTCTTATAACAGGAGGAAGAGGAGACAGAAGTGGCTCATATGGGTAAAAGCCCTTGTCCTGCAAATCAGTGACACAAAGGAGTTAGTCCATCCAAAGTACCGTTTTAAAAAGATTGCTACGTAGCAAAATAATAGGATAGGTTAAGAGGGGAGCCCAGCTAGGAGCTTCAGTGGGATCCAGGGTTGATATGATGGTGGTCTGGATTTACGTGATGGCAGTAGAGATAAAAAGAAGTAAAAATTCCAGCCCAGGCAACATAATGAGACCCTGTCTCTACAAAAAAAAAAAAAAAAAAAGGTTTGTTTGTTTGTTTTTTGATTATCTGTGTGCGATGTCTCACTCCTGTAGTCCCAGCTACTGGGGCGGGGTTTGAGGGTTGGCTGACGTGTGAGGCTTCAGCCCAGGAGGTGGAGGCTGCAATGAGCACTCTAGCCTGGGCGACAGAGGGAGACCCCGTCTGAAATAAATAAATAGAAGTAACAAATATTTGAGGTAGCTTTTGGAGAATAAACGGGATTTGCTATTGGATTGAACAATGAGGGATGGAGAGGGAGAAATCAAGAGGAAATCCCTGAGTGGTTGATTGTGCTATGTATTAAAATGCAAAAACTGCCGGGAGCGGTTGCTCACGCCTGTAATCCCAGCACTTTGGAAGGCCGAGGCGGGCGGATCACTAGGTCAGGAGTTCAAGACCAGCCTGGCCAACATGGTGAAACCCTGTCTCTACTAAAAATACAGCAATTTGGCTGGGCACGGTGGCTCAAGCCTGTAATCCCAGCACTTTGGAAGGCCGAGACGGGCGGATCACGAGGTCAGGAGATCAAGACCATCCTGGCTAACATGGTGAAACTCCGTCTCTACTAAAAAATACAAAAAACTAGCCAGGTGAGGTGGCAGGCGCCTGTAGTCCCAGCTACTCGGGAGGCTGAGGCAGGAGAATGGCATAAACCCGGGAGGCGGAGCTTGCAGTGAGCTGAGATCCGGCCACTGCACTCCAGCCTGGGCGAGAGAGCGAGACTCCGTCTCAAAAAAAAAAAAAAAATACAGCAATTTGCCTGGCATGGTGGTGCATGTCTGTAGTCACAGCTACTCGGGAGGCTGAGGGAGGAGAATCGCTTGAACTCGGGAGGCAGAGGTTTCAGTGAGCGAAGATCATGCCACTGCACTCCAGCTTGGGCGACAGAGCCAGTTACAAAAAATAAATAAAATAATAAGTGTGCACAGTATATAGTAGTTATGATCATCCTATTAGACACTGGTATGGTAGAAACCAGCTGAGAAAAATAACCTTTATTAGTTGCTTAATCTTTTAGTAATACTTTAGGAGTAAAGTCATACATTTCACAGAGCATCTGCTAGTGACAAATCATCTTATTCATCAAATATTTATTTATTTATTTATTTAAGACGGAGTTTCACTTTTTCTTGCCCAGGCCGGAGTACAGTGGTGCAATCTCGGCTCACTGCAACCTCTTCCTCCTGGGTTCAAGCCATTCTCCTGTCTCAGCCTCCCAAGTAGCTGAGATTATAGGTGCCTGCTGCCACACCCAGCTAATTTTTGTATTTTTAGTAGAGACGGCGTTTCACCATGTTAGCCAGGTAAGTCTCGAACTCCTGACCTCAGGTGATCTGCCCGCCTCAGCCTCCCAAAGTGCTGGGATTACAGGTGTGAGCCACTGCACCTGGCCTCATCAAATATTTATTTGGTGCCTACTGTGCACCAGGCCCCGTGCTGGACTCTGGGAAAACACAGGTGAATCTCTCTGTCCTCATGGAGCTTCCTACCTCCTTCAGGGAGACAGTGAAGACTTATCAAACATCTAATTCCATCTGAGGAGGAATTTAGCAGGTGTTGTGATACAGCCTAGGCAACGGGGGAAAGGCCTGCTAAGTAAGGAACATACCTTTACTTGCAGGATAAGAAGGAGCCATTTCTGGGAAGGGAACTGTGGGGGAAGAGCATTTTGGGCAGAGACCCAGAATATAGGGACTGAGGTGGAGAAAAGTTCCAGTTAGCAGGAGAGCACAATGGAAAACCTTTGAAGGCTTTAAGCAGGAGAGTAAACTGATTCGATGTCTGTATTACACTTAGTGTCTGTGTGAAGAATGAACTGGAGGTGGATCAAGAGAAGAAGCAAGGGGGCCGGGAGCAGTGGCTCGTGCCTGTAATCCCAGCACTTTGGGAGGCTGAGCGGTGCGGACCGCTTAAGGTCAGGAGTTTGAGACCAGCCTGGCCAACATGGCAAAACCCCATCTCTTGTAATTTTTGTAAAAATACAAAAATTAGCCAGGCGTTGTATCACATGCCTGTAAACACAGCTACTAGGGAGGCTGAGGCTGGAGAATTGCTTGAACCCAGGGGGCAGAGGTTGCAGTGAGCCGAGATCATGCCACTGCACTCCAGCCTGGGTGACAGAGTAAGACTCCATCTCAAAAAAGAAAAGAAAAAGCATGGAGACCAATTAGAAGGGTCCTGTGGGGCTAGGCTCTGTGGCTCACACCTGTAATCCCAGCACTTTGGGAGGACAAGGGGGTGGATTGCTTGAGTCCAGGATTCAAGACCAGCTTGGGCAACATGGAGAAACCCCCTCTCTACAAAAAATACAAAAAGTAGCCACGCCTGGTGGCGCACACCTGTGGTCCCCACTACTCAGGAGGCTGAGATGGGAGGATTGCTTGACCGTGGGAGGTTGGGGCTGCAGTGAGCTGTGACAGCCTGGGTGGTGACAGAGCAAGACCCTATCTCAAAAAAAAAAAAAAAAAAAAAAAGGAAAAGAAAAAAGGATGTTTCTTGTGGCTGGATGTGGTGGCACACACCTGTAATCCCAGCACTTTGGGAGGCCAAGGCAAGTGGATCACTTGAGGTCAGGGGTTCTAGACCACCCTGTCCAACATGGCGAAATCCTGTCTCTACTAAAAAAATACAAAATATTAGCCTAGCATGGTGGCATGTACCCATAGTCCCAGCTACTCCAGAGACTGAGGCAAGAGAATTGCTTGAACCTCAGAGGTGGATGTTGCAGTGAGCTGAGATTGTGCCACTGCACTCCAGCTTGGGTGACAGAGTGAGACTCCGTTTCTCTTTTTTTTTTTTTTTTTTTTGAGATGGAATCTCGCTCTGTCGTCCAGGCTGGAGTGCAGTGGCACGATCTCGGCTCACTGCAACCACCACCTCCTGGGTTCAAGCAATTCTCTGCCTCAGCCTCCTAAGCATCTGGGATTACAGGCACCCACCAACATGACCAGCTAATTTTTGCATTTTCAGTAGAGATGGGGCTTCACCATCTTGACAAGGCTGGTCTTGAACTCCTGACCTCGTGACCCACCTGCCTTGGCCTCCCAAAGTGCTGGGATTACAGGTGTGAGGCACCACGCCGGGCTGAGATACCGTTTAAAAAAAAAAAAAAAAAAGCCAGGCGCAGTGGCTTACGCCTGAAATCCTAATCCCAGCACTTTGGGAGGCCAAGGTGGGCAGATCACCTGAGGTCGGTAGTTCAAGACCAGACTGACCAACATGGAGAAACCCTGTCTCTACTAAAAATACAAAATTAGGCCAGGTGCGGTGGCTCACACCTGTAATTCCAGCACTTTAGTGAGGCTGAGTTGGGTGGATTAACTGAAGTTAGGAGTTCGAGACCAGCCTGACCAACATGGTGAAAACTCGTCTCTACTAAATATAAAAAATTAGCCTGGCATGGTGGTGCATGCCCGTAATCCCACCTACTCGGAAGGCTAAGGCAGGAGAATCACTTCAACCCAGGAGACAGAGGTTGCAGTGAGCTGAGATCGCACCATTGCACTCCAGCTTGGGCAACAAGAGCGAAACTCCGTCTCAAAAAAAAAAAAAAAAAAAGCACACATCATCAACAGTACAAGGAAGTAAAAACCTGAGCGTCCAGTTTCAGCGTTGGAAATAAGCAGAGCAGGAACGCCAGTGACTAGAACCGTTGGTGTAAGTTGAAATGGCCATTTATTAGGAATTCAGTTGAAACATCTTATTAAACACAGGTTGCTAAGCAACAGTGGCCACCCCAGAACAGTAACAGTGTGGCAGTTCCTTCTGCTACAGAGCTCCTGGGCAGGGGTTTCATCCTGTAGCAAAGGTACCTTTTTGGCTGGACTAATTCATCCCTCTACATGTGGACCTATGTATGCTCCTGTCTTTTAAGGCCTTCTGTGCATCACTGTCCCTCTGTCCAGGATCATTGATCTGTCTGTCTCCACTGGATCACTCCCACTAGCAACACAAACGTGCTTTTCTGTTTCATACTATGTAAATAAATCCCTTGAACTCACCTCCTCTGCTCTATGCCCTGCCAATCTGCTATTCAACCCAGACAACTTTTTTCTTGTTGTTGGTTTTTTGGTTGGTTGGTTGTTTTTAAGAGAAAATCTCACTCTGTCACCCAGCCTGGAGTACAGTGGCAAGATCTCGGCTCACTGCAGCCTCTGCCTCCCAGGTTCAACCAATTCTCCTGCCTCGGCCTCTGAGCAGCTGGGATTATAGGCACGCACCAGCACATCCAGCTAATTTTTTTTT